CTAACATCTTGGCGTTAGATACCAGAGGTGGGACCAAGTCATTGTTTTGCAAGTCTCAAGTAAGTCTCAAGTCTTTATCCTCAAGTCACAAGTCAAGTCTCAAGTCACTGGTTTAAAAGTCAGAGTAAAGTCACAAGTCTGAAACTTTGAATTTCAAGTCCTTTCGAGTCTTAAAAAAAAAAAAACGGAAAAAAAGAATGTCGCAGTTATATGCTAAATGTAAATATTAGACCATGTGATTTTTAAATCTGTTTTTTTCAACACATGACAAAATAGTGAACTTAGAAAATATACACAAATTGTGAAATTGCACCTCTATAAAATGCAGCTCAATTAAACTTAGCTCCAAGAATAATTTTCACCGACGATTCTGAGATAAGCTGCATGTTATTCTTGGATGCGCTTGTAGGACCTGCTTTAAAATCGCATGACAAAAATATAATACACATAAAAAAAACTGTATCACCAACATAGCCTGGACAACGTTTGCTAGTTAGATGAAGTCAGCTATCTCATCGTAGCAAAAGAGAAGCACCACCTACCGTTCTTTATGCAACTTCAACTGTCGGACAAAGTCGGAAGTTGTTCCATCTCTGTCTGTGATTCGCTTCTTGCATGTTTTGCATATTGCATTTAGGTTTTTTTGTTGACTACTTCATAGTTTATGTACCTGAAAAAAATAACTCCCTGCAGCATTTTTGAGCGTTTTTTTTTTCTTCTTAAAAAAAATCTGGTTAATTTGATTGGCTGTGCTACAGCTCATTCACACATACGTACGGAGTGTGGTTGGAATGAATGAATGAATTGAATTAATGGTGACACTTTCTATATAATATGTGTGTTTAATTTTTAGATTTGGGGTGAAATATCAAGTCTTTTCAAGTAAACCGGTTCAAGTCCAATTCAAGTCCCAGGTCATTGGTGTAAAAGTCCAAGTCAAGTCACAAGTCTTAGAACATTTTTTCAAGTCAAGTCTAAAGTCATAAAATTAATGACTCGAGTCTGACTCGAGTCCAAGTCATGTGACTCGAGTCCACACCTCTGTTAGATACCATAGCACATCTTGTATGATCTAGTGGAGTCCATGCCTCAATGATCATTGCTGATTTGGCAGCAAAGGGGAACCGACACAATATTAGGCAGGTGGTCATAATGTTGTGCCTGATCGGTGTGTATTGCTATTTGGCTTAGTCTGTTTTTAGATAGGATAGTTTCTCTTTACATGTATAATCGATATTAATAATCTTAATCTACTAATAATTAATAATTGGTAATAATTGCAATTACTAATAATTAGTAACTGCACTCTAAAATAAATGTAGTGAAAGCTTCTCAAAATGTAGTGGAATAGAAGTAGAAAGTAGCATGCTGCTAGAATCACTGCTATAGAGAGAGGAGGGCAGCTGTCTGTAACAGCACTTTCTAGAATCTGGCAAAGCTGGAAATTGATAACAAATTAGGCTCACAGTTAGTCTTCACACATAGCTTTCATTTTAAAATGTTTCTGGCAACTCATTTTAGCCTTGCAAGAGAGCTGTGGCTGTGTAAAACAAGCCAAAAGTGGATGTTAGAGTAGAAAAGATCACTTTAGTACGAGCTGGTAGGGCGATGTGTGTCATTAACCCACAAAATTTTATAGTTATAGTAATTAGAGCAGTTAACTCTAGAAGAAGTTGTGCTTGACTTTGCCTGAGCTGAAGGTCTCCAATACATCGGTGTATCTTTGCTGTGTGTGTGTGTGTGTGTGTGTGTGGAGAGGCTGCACAAAGAACACCCAGATGACTGACAGTGCCATTGTCATGGATGTTGTGTTGCAGACCTTTGTTGGGGGGAAAATAAGATGCTGCTCAGGCTGGCTTTTATAGTCTTTCTTTTGCATGTGCTCCTAAAAACACAATCACGGTTCAAACAATATTGTTCCTTACTTCTAACTGTGAGTGAAAGGCTTACCTTCCATATCACCATCTTGACCTTCCTCCACCGTGGTGAAGCTAAGAACTCGTTCTTTCTTGTAGTACATCGAACTGATTATACTTATTTTCATATGAAACTTTTTCTTGGTTTAAAAAACAAACAAACCTAATTTTACAACCATTTATAGCCCACTTTGAACTTGAGTGGACCGGACGAGTGAACCTCCACTTTCTGATATCTCAATATAAGATAAAGAAGTGCAATTTCAACAGTACATCTTAGTTTTTCTACATGATGAATGGGTAAAGTTACAGTGTTGCATGTTTTTGTTTTATAAAACAACAAAGTGTAAAATTTCTAGTAGACATTGAAAAACAGGAACTTTTCTGTCACTGAACTATTTAACTCAGGGGTGTCAAACTCCAGGCCTCGAGGGCCGGTGTCCTGCAGGTTTTAGATATCAACCTGGGTCAACACACATGAATCAAATGATTAGTTCATTACTAGGCCTCTGGAGAACTTCAAGACATGTTGAGGAGGTCATTTAGCAATTTAAATCAGTCGTGTTGGATCAAGGACGCATCTAAAACCTGCAGGACACCGGCTCTTGAGCCCTGGAGTTTGACACCCCTGATTTAACTAATACCTACACCACCAATTACTTTGGTGTAGTATGAATATCTGTGGGGGAGGTCTTTATCTGCAGGAAAAGCTGTAAAACATATAGAAACACAGGGTTTTATGTTTTACACACTTGATTTAGAGTATACACCCACTGTACACTTTAATAGGTACACCTTGCTAGTACTGGGTCGTACCCCTTTAGCCTTCATAGCTTTATTAATTCATCATTTATTCAACAAGCTGCTGGAAACATTCCTCACAAATTTTGGTCATTTTTGACATGACAGCATCAGACAGTTGCTGCAGATTTGTGGGCTGCATATCCACGATGTGAATCTTCTATTCTACTATTCCCAAAGGTGCTCTATTGGATTGAGACTTGCTAACTGTTGAGGTCTGAGTGTAGTGTCATGTCTCATTGGCATGTTGAGTAAACAAGTTTCGGATGATTTTACCTTTGTGACATGATGTGTATCCTGCTGGATGCAGCAGTTATAAGATGGGCACACTGTGGTCATAAAGGGATGAACATGGTCGGCAAAAACACAGAGAAAGGCTGTGGTGTTTCACTGATGCTTAATTGGTGCTAAGGGGGCCAGAGTGTGCAGAGAAAGTATCCCCTACCTCAATTACACTACCAGTAGCCTGAGCCGTTAATAAAGGCACATGGATTCATGTTTAATGGTGTTCATGCTAAATTGTGACCCTGTCATCTGAATGTTGCAGCAGAAATCAAAACTCATTAAACCAGGAGATACTTTTCAAACCTTCTTTTTAGTCTTGGTGAGCCTGTGCGAGTTGTAGTCTCAGTCTCCTTTTCTTAGCTGACAGAGGTGACACCCGGTGTGGTCTTCTGCTGCTCTACTCCATGTGTTGTGCAATCAGAGATGCTCTTCTGTATATCTAGGTTTTAATGAGTGGTTGTTTGACTTACTACTGCCTTCCTATCAGCTTAGAGCAGTCTCCTCTCCTCTAGTATCAACAGGGCTTTTTTGCCCAGAGAACTGATTTTCACTGAATATTTAACTTAAAAAAACAATATTTTCTGTAAACACTAGAGATGGATCTGTGTGAAAATCCCAGTAGAGCAACAGTTTCTGAAATATTTGGGGCAGCACGTCTGGCACCAACGTTCAAAGTCACTTTAATCACCTTTCTTCCTCATTCTGATGCTCGCTTTGAACTTCACTGGATTGACCTGACCATGCCTACGCACCTCAAAGTACTGACTTGAGTACAGTTATGTATCACAAGGTTTGGGACAACTATATTTTTAAATGTTTGGTAAAAATAATGAAGTGATTTATAGTCAGTAAATTAGGTGAGCATTTCCTGAGGTTTTCCTCACTCTTGACTTTTATCTAAGGATAATCGTGATCTTTCCCAAAATCATTAGAAAGCATAGAATAGCATTAGTCATACATTAGTCATCATTAATCAAACAAATGAAATGTTTTCAGCAAACATGGTGTTTTACTTTCATTAAAAACCACCCGTGGGTGCTCTGTTGGCTTCGGCTGTTAAGCTAAAGCCCGTGAACCACAATGTCCCAAAAGGTTTCACAATATGTTGATAAAAGAAACTTAAAAACGGCACAGAAGAGCCTGAATGCTGAAAAATGGGAATATGTAAATGTAATTTCTGGAAGACTTGGTTGGACCTCCAGCTTATTCCTCCTCTTCACCCCAGCTGATCAGTGATCAATGAGTCAATCAAATCACAGAAAATCTATGTTATTACGGTTACTGTTATAGTGTCTCTGTGGATGGATTATTGTTTTACATAATTTTAAAAGGTCATTTTTTGAAGTTTGATATTTTTAGTGCTTTTTTCCTTGAAATATGAATTAGATGCATTAAATTCCGCTTTCTCGCTTTTATAATGCTGCAAATCATAATAATAAAACTGTATCAAAATTAACTTTGAAGAAATAAGTCTGACTGCAAGGGGTGCATAGATTCTGTCTGAAAGTGTAATTGTCACAGCTGTAAAATTGCTTCTGCCGCATCATTGCCCTCCTGGAAATGAACACAGTCACGGTCTTTAGATGTGGTGGGGATCAAAGACAGATACACATTTATGAATATTATGGAGATTTATGAAAATTTAATTAATAAAGAGTAATTGCCCAAAAAGTCAAAGTCAGCTGAGTCCTTAATAACACATTAAATCAAGTAATTAAGGAAGGCAATAGCCTTAAAATCCATTAAATAGACTGACATGTAGAGAGACAGATGCAAGCAGGATTAGGGGTGAAAAGTCAGTAACCTGCAGAAGCCTGGAAATTCAAGCGTTCACCGCTAATGCCAACATTATCCAGGTCCTTTTAGCACTAAGCCTCGACTCCAGTAAAAGTGTCTGCTGGACTTCAAACAACATTCTGGCTGCTGTAATTAGTGAGATTGCAGGGGATTCACATAAGTAGGCCAACTTTTTAAAATCTCCTGTCGTCTCCTTTCCAGTGGACGGAGCGATCCACCGCGCTGCTGGTCCCATGCTAAAAAAGGAGTGTGCTTCGCTCAACGGCTGTAAGACGGGAGAAGCCAAGATTACCTGCGGCTACCGCCTTCCTGCAAAGTGTGAGTATAAAGTGTTTGTGTAACTTCTAGCAGCTCCGGTGAGGCTGCTTCCATGTGTTTCTGCTGGACAGCTTCCAGGTGTGAATGTGTGGGAAAGTGTAACAGGGATGCAGGGCAATGTGGGAAAAAGAGTTGCACTGTTGAGTCTCTCTAGAAAAATGAAGGTTAAACTGCTTCATGAATTTAAAAAATGGCTTTTAATAAGGAATTGGTGCTGTCTTAATATCAACAATTTCCTCGAATACAATTTAACGAATTCATTTAAATAACTTGTGCATTGTTTCTCGTAGAGAGGTCTTAAAGTAGCTCAGTTTCCCCTCTTTACCTCAAACCCGAGCAGCAGCACAAACTCGGATGTATCCAGAGTAATATCACTCACTGCGTTCCATTTATAGCAGAGTAAATGGAACTCAATTATTAAGTGGCACTCCACTGCTGCTTGTGTAATGTGATGAAACTGTAGGCTCAACATGACAGGAGGCACTTTTCTAGGTGTTCTCCTCCAACTTTCGTCATATCTACAAGACATTTAATTAAGTAGGAGATCAGAACTCTGCATTTACATAAATCACAAAAGCTGACAGTCACTTTATTTTATTTTAGCCATTTAATTTTATTTTAATAACCCTGAAAAACACAGTTATTGGGACATAAATAAGCCTCTAACTATAATATATTTATTTGTTATTTTTTGCTATAAAAATACTGGCTTAAAGTTTGGAGCCAGTCCTAATTTCTTTATATTTTAAGCAAACCTTTGTGGGGATACAGTATATAAGGCAAAAATCAAGCTTGGTCGTCAACACAGCCTGAACTGTCTTAGACGAGCTTTTTTGTGATAGCTTGAAGTACGGTACTATGCAAAAGTCTTGAGCCACGCCACCCCTTTCTTTATATTTTCCTTCCAAGAAGCCAGACTTTCTCTGTTTCTCTGGGCTTTCTGAAGTTCTTTCAAAGTATTTTTAAACTTTTTCACCACTAATATTTTTTTCATGGGAATTTTCGCTTTTTTGGTAAACCAAATTGACCCATAAACCATTCAAGCATAAAAAAGGAGCACCTATCTTACGCGTTGTCTACATATGACAGACCATTTTAAATGGTATCTTTAGGCACTTTGTTACAAGCAGCCTGTCAAAAAAGCATAATTTGTTCCCATTTCTTTAGTTGAATTTTTGAGGAATAATGCAGACAATAAAACAGTTTGACAGACATAAAATAATGTTTTTGCACCAACAAGGTGATTCCAAAGAGCTATTACCTGAAAACGTGGCATATCTCAGAATGTGTCCTTAAAAAATGAGGAAAATGGACAAGTGGAGGACAAAAGAAGAAGTGTCAGGTCTAAAAAAAAATATCCACAGCAGATGAAAAGTATCTGAAAGTCATGTTCTTAAGAAAGTCTTGACACAAGACCTGAGAGACACATCTGGCCTTCAGCTAATGTGTCTACTGAGGTCTTATTGACATGAAATTATTAGCATAACAGAGAAGACAATAAGAAAACAGACATATAGTTAAGGAACAAGAATAAATTAAAGATCATTTTATGGAAGTTTTTACTAAAAAAAAATATAGAAAAAGTTTGTTGATCGGTGGTCAACAGCATCTTCAAACATTGAAGATATATACTATGCTGTACACGTTTCAGGCTACTGCGTGCATTTAGATATAACCACATACTGCACAATAAACACATGAAATATTACATTTTGTTTCACAAGAGAACATTTCTTTGCACAGATCAATTTACATGCATACACAGTGCATCATTACCAAGAGGACCAGTCACAGTTGCTCGCATCTTTCTGTCTGGTTACATTTCTGCGAGGCAGAGCAGGGTAATTTGATATAGAGTTATTGGCTCGCTGAAAAACCCAGGCGATTCAGGTGATCTCCAATAATCTCTTTCTAATATTCTTGCCTGACCAAATCACAGCCTTGAATGTTAAAAATGGCAAAAAAAAATTGATGGATTATTTCTCGGTTTAGTGCACGTTTAGTGTGTTAGCATTGCTCAGCTAATAATTGGGCTTTTTGCCTTAAAGCCAAACATATTTACCTTCTTCTGGCTTTAGATCAAGGAGTGTTTTTGGGCCACTTTGTTCTCCGTTAAGACGCTGCGCTTGAAGCACAAATGTCAAGACGTTTACCGGCCACTATGGACAAACATTCATTTAGTTGTTTTCTAGTTACATAATTGATTGGTTGGCTCACCTGTTCTTTTTAGAGTCCTGCCTCTTTACCAGTCTTGCATCTTTATCAGCTTAACTGCTTGAAACACCAAAAAACCACAAGTGAAACTCAGATTGGCAACTAATTGGCTAATATCAGCTGTGCGTGGGACTATAGTGCTAAAGGTTTATGCAAAAGGTGACAAAAGCTAAAAGTGTGGCAAAGAGAGGTAACTGTAATAGCTTCATTATTCTAAATGGGATGTTTTAAAGGAGAACTCCGCTGATTTTGATCACAGTCTGTTCACAGCTTTGGGGGACTACTGCTAAATATGGAGAGAAGGTTGGATCTGTTTGTGGCTCAGGAGTGAGCTGAGGAAAATCTGATAAACTGTCTTATAGTGATGACATCACTTGAGGCAATTTAGATTGAGGTAGGGGGGGGGAAATGAAAGACATCTGGGGGTGTGGAGCTGCAAAGGAGCATGACACTAATAGGTATGGAAATAATGCAGTAGCCAAGCTTTGAGCATTATAACGGCCACCCAGGTGTGAGTGTGCGTCGGTGTGTTTTTTCTGAGTGAGATTAAAGCAGCACTGAGGCTGTGTGATATCAGCTGCTGGTTCTACTGAGAGTTTAAGTTCACAGTGGCAGAGAAAAGGAAAGAAGAGAGGGGGGGAAAAGGAGAAGAAGCGCTGATAAAGGCGAGCTCAAGGCAAAACGGAGCGCAGGAGTAGGAAAGATAGATAAGGAAAGAGTTGGAGAGAGGAAGAAATAAATGAAGCGGCGTAGAGGAGAGGAGAGATGTGAGAGGAGCTGAAGACTGAAGGGAATTAGGGGGAGATGAGTTCTTACATTGTCTGTTCTCCTTTGTTGGTTCACTTGTTTAACTTTGAGGATGTTAGCTGTCATTTTTGTGTGAGTGTTAGCGGATGCTTGGCTGCTCGTCACTGGGTTTTTTATGAGTGCATATTTATGTGCAATTGTGTGCATTTGTTTTGCTCTCCTGTACTCAGTCATACAGCCTGTTTCACAGGCTGCGTTCGCTCATGTGTTGGTGGATACGCTGTGCCAGTGCAGTATATCCTTGCATGCGGTGGGGTCTGCCTGTCAGGTCCTATCAGTCTGGTACCTGTAACTCTGTCAGCATGAGATCTGTGTGACTGACAACTTTCTGACTCACTGACTGACTGACTAACCATGTGTGTGTGTGTGTGTGTGTGTACATCCGCACACACACTTTCTCGGTGTTGCACTTATGTGTGCGTGGCTATTACCCAGCATGTGGTAAGGAGGCTGGTTCTCCCCTCCCAGACAAAATATTAAGTCCTAAATAATAATTCAACGTGCGTCTGCTCCAATACTTAAACACTCACAACAGGGCTTGATTACCTCTCAGCAGGAGGGAGAGCGAGTCAAGACAGCAACAACAGAGGGAAAGCAAAGGAGGGATGACAAAGCAGGCAGAGGACTGCGTGAAGGCAGAGAAACAGCTGAAGAGAGAGAAATGAAAATGAAACTCGACAGGAGAGAGGCAGAAAGGTTGAGAGATGGGCTCAGTCTCAAAGGCAGCACTTTGATCTTGATTTGTATGGGCTTGCCACCAGATGTGGGATTTCAAGAGCATCTGACTCACAAGTTGCCAAATGGTCCAGAAGACCTGCTGTCAGCCCTCTATGCAGAGTGTCCATCGATGATCCCGCAGCCACTTAGCCATCAGCATCCTGGTATCGTAACCTAGCAACACCCAGAGTGCACGCCACACTACTGCTGCTGTTTAGCAACAGTTGCGTGCAATTCGGGGAAGCTGATAAATGACAGCTGGCCCAGGTCGGAGTCAAATCTCAGCCAAAATGTAAAGGCAGTTAAATCAGAAACTGTCAGCTTTGAGGCATATGAGCCACTGTAATTAGGACTCGATTAGGAGAGGAGCCTCCTGTTTGTGTGCGCTGCTCACTTGTGAGCCCGTTAGATGCTGTAAGATGCTTCTGCACATGTGTAGGTGTGTCCAAATGTTTTTTTCCTCTCTTTTTTTCTTTTGCCTTTTTCTTCTATTTATTTTATTTATTTTTTTGCAGTTGCCAGACAAGGGAGCCTGGGCCAGCGTGTTGTCTGGGCGACTCATGGCCCTGAGCTCACCTGTGTACCGATAAACACAGCTGTAACCCTGCTAACTTGTTCCCCAGCCAGCTCTATTCCCACTGCTAAACACACAGAGATACAGCACTGGGGACAGAAGGTGTAGGAGGGTGGGTCAAAAGATAACACAACTGGCAACTTCACCGTTAGAAAAAGCACCCCTTGGCTTTAGTGATGTCAATAAAGAGAGCTAGAGGCTCAGACAGCAGGGGTTTTGGGCACATTTAACCCTGATTCACTCCTGTCAACGTTTGGAGGAGAAAACTGCTCCGAGACTCACAGACACCGATGTTCAGCCCAGATTATCTGGTAAAGTGAAGGGTTTTTACAGAAGCACTCTTAAACCCCCCAAATTGTTTGCAGATTAATAAAATAAACATTTTTGACATTTGGAGTTAAGATCTGGATGATTATGAAATTACAAAACAAGACTCCAAATAAAGACAACAAGTAGCTCTACTGCCTAATAGCTTTCTGTGAATGTAATGTAGCGCAGTCTGGGCAGCAGAGTAATACAATTTGAAAGGGGAAAAATATATAAAAATGTCCCACTGTGGAAAATCACCAAATAGTTTAATGACCCGGGCTGAAAGCAAACAGCTGTGCAGGTGACGAGTAATATCAGCGCCTTTTACCTACCTGTAAACATCAGTCTGAGCACAGCATACTTATCTGCAGTGGCCTCC